GTTACGAAAATCTTTATAAGAAAAACTAAAATTTCAACATGATATATTTGAGTCGTAATTTAACTCCAAGCTGACTTTTTGGGCGGGTATGGATGTGGTCAGTTTTTATCAGGTAGGGTTCGATAGATTTGCGCGAGAGTGGTTGGGGGTTCAAGATTAATGCGTTTCTTACACACACACACACCGACATTTACATGACCCAAAAGCACACTGAAACCAAAATCTACGCTCAGCCCTACACTAATCCTCATGCACGCACTTATCCAAGCCAATACACGCTGTATCGAACTCTTTCAGGATTTCAAGTTACTCATGCAGCTAGTTTGCTTTGGGACCCTGTAATTTTTGGCCCATCCGCAACTCTTGCATACTTAAAAACAGCTCGTCCAGCTTTTACATATATAGAACCAATGTACAATAATATTCCTAATTCGCAAAGGAACTCCTGCATGCAAAACTATAGAACATGGCAGCTTTTCGGATGTTCTACTAGGCTCTATAGGACGTAGTAGCTTCTCGGAGATTTTGCGAAACTCTGTACGGAGTGGCAGCTTCTCAAACGATCTGCCCGGCTCTGCAAGAACGTGGCAGCTTCTCGGAGGTTCTGTTTGCCTCTACAGGACGTGGCAGCTTCTGGGAGGCTCTATAGGACGCGGGAGCTTCTCGAAGGTTCTGTTTGCCTCTACAGGACGTAGCAGCTTCTCGGAGGCTCTGATCGGCTCTACAGGACGTGGTAGCTTTTTGGAGGTTTTGCGACACTCTGTACGGAGTGGCAGCTTCTCGGAGGGTCTCCCAGACTCTACAGGACGTGGCAGCTTCTCGGAGGTTCTGTTTGCCTCTACAGGACGTGGTAGCTTCTCAAAGGTTTTGCGACACTCTGTACGGAGTGGCAGCTTCTCAAACGATCTGCCTGGCTCTGCAAGAACGTGGCAGCTTCTCGGAGGTTCTATTTGCCTGTACAGGACGTGGCAGCTTCTCCGAGGTTCTGTTTGCCTCTACAAGACGTGGTAGCTTCTCGGAGGTTTTGCGACACTCTGTACGGAGTGGCAGCTTCTCGGAGGGTCTCCCAGACTTTACAGGACGTGGTAGCTTCTGGGAGGTTTTGCAAGACCTTATAGGCTGTTACAGCTTCTTTGAGAATCTGTGAGGCTCTGTAGGGTGTGGTAGTTTCGGGCAGATTCTGCGACGCTTTGCAGAACGCGGCAGCTTTTGGGAGGTCCTGCAGATATTAAACCTTGTGACGTTTCCTGCTCTAATCATATAAAAGCTCTCTCAGATTCAAGTGTAAAAGGGATCAACAGAGGAGTTGAGGAAGAAGGGTGCCTACTTTTTAGAAACCAAATCAGTACTACAGATTGAAGCTAAAATTAACACACACACTATTTTAAATATTATAAAATGAGTTTCGTCAACATTGAGCTACGGACTCAGGATATACAGGCAATGGAAGTGTCCAAGTATCTTTGAAACAAAGAAGTGTTTAACTTATTTGCTGCGTTTTCTTCATTTGCGTTAACTTGAAATTATTACGAAGTATTTTAGAATCAAAATGATTAGGGGTGGACAGTAATATGTATAAAATCTACACCCACACTCTTAATAATACAGAATACATATGATTAATGCACGACATCTATGAAGATTCAATGCAAATACAGAGAATACACAACCCAAACAAGATGTACAATATTCAGAAGAAAAATGCTTGATGATTTTGAAAAATTCTTAAAAGCTATACAGTAAAGTATGTGTAGATTTCTTAAAAAATATTTTGACTTCGTTTTACTGACACAATCAGAGTATGAAATTGTTTCACGCTTGAGATAGATATACTGTACTTAATAATCCTACACAATTTCATCGATACCCCTGACCATCTTTCTTTGTCAAATGTGCCGTCAACAATACTTTTAGAATGATTTCTTTCTAAATCTACTATTTTCATACTTACCAGGTGGAGATCGTGATCCAGCAATAACAATCATAGTGGTAATGTCGGCATCAGGCAACATATATGCAATTTCATTTGACATATCAGTAAATAATTCACAATTAGAAGTTGATTGTTGAAAACTGGCTGCTCTACAATAAATTTGAGCTAAACAAGCCATTTGGCACTTCATAATAGTCGACGTAATCATATTAGCAAACGGTAAACAACTTGGAGTAGTATATGGAAATTTCTGACCACGAATAAAAGACATTCGAACTGGTCGCATATCTTCTCCAACTGATTGTGTAATAATCATAAATACAAGCCATAAACAAATTCTTTTTGAAGGCATTACCAACTAAATTGTAAGTTGATGAAATAAATTTGACTGAGAATAAGAAAAAAAAGCATCTGCTGAGTGATAAACACTATTTTTTTTTCTTTTTCTCTCACTCTTTTTCCGTTGCCAATGTAGCGTATGCTTCTCTTTTTTCTTATTATATTTCATCAACCTAATGTAGAAACTAGCCATGACTTTCATTTAATTTTGTAAAAACGCATATTCATTTTGAAAGACGCTTTTTCCTTATTGGTATGTTACTTAGAGACAAACATATTCGCAAATAGAATATTTTTTATTATATAGAAGATGAATAAAGATGAAAAGCATATTGAACGATCGACTCATAAAAATTAGACTCGAAAAAAGAATAATCAAGATTTAGTCACAAATGAAATTTTTCTTATAAAAGCAAAAATAATTTAGTTCATTTTGTTCATATATTAATTAGATATGCATGCAAACTTATCTCACAGCTTATACAATATATATCAATCAATTCTCACGCAATTCATATCGAAACAAGGAAAATTGAATAATCCACAAAATTCAAACTCATTGTGGTTCAATATTTCAATTGACTCTAACACGAAGTATTCTGTTCTTCATTTTTTTTTTGATCAATGAAAGAATTTTATAGGATGTGCTTCAATACATAATCGCATTTTTCGTTTACCAATGGGAAAATAATCCACACAGTTAAGATGCTTGTCTATGTATGATAGTATTCACGGAAGACAAAACATCTTGTTTATTAGATAAATAAAAACAAACAGTTTTTTTTCAGTGTTCTAAAATGAGTTTAATGATTGTTTATCATAACAACATATTCTAAACTGTTTTTTTTCTCGAGGAAAAATAATTATCCACTAAAAACTTGCTTTTCTTTTCTTTACTCTCGTTTCTATGCTGCTGTAATATATAATGTATGAAGTAGAAGAAGAAGTTAGTTGGACAATCTTTTTGATTATTTTTTTAAAAGAAACGATAGAAAAAGAAAACGTCTGGAAAGATCTACGTCTGATGTAATTACAATAAGCAAAAAGTATACCTCTGTTGAGAGAAACAATGATGGTAGCATATGCAAACTGCCTGTGGATGGAAAACGGCATCTTCATAATTACATTAGAAAAATGACTAAACAAAGTTGATGACGTCTTTACTTTCTTTCAATATTTGAATGTATCATACATAACTACAAAATAAATGATTTTTTTCCAGTGTGTAAAGATTTGTTTAACTTGTTTTAGGTTTTAATAACAATAGATTGTCAATTGACGAGTATGCTACATGTTAAAATAATGAATCTAATAATAGCTGATAATATAACATTGATTTATGGATTATTTGTGATGTAATACTATTTCTAGTGATTTTTGCAAATATTTATTTCTCTATTTATCTCGAAACAATGTCGGCTTAAGAGTATTGCTCATATATTGTAATTGGGATATAAATTTTTTTAAAGTAATCATCTGTAATAGCCATCATGTTCCATTTAAAATACGAACGAATACTTAAGAATGTTTGACTCGAAGCAAGAAAATTTTCTAATTCGTCATAACTAATTTATAATTCACTTTCATATACTTTTAATCTAGACTATATTCGGAATGATGTGTAATGAGATAACAGTTTAAATCGACTAAACAGGACTTTCAGATCAATTATAATTAATTTATAATCAGTCCCGAGCAAAGTTATTAATCCAATTATTATGAAATAAAATCAAAATTGTAAGTGAGTAAAATTACAAATTTCCAATCAGCTATAAATAATTGAAAATTTATGATTTCAATCAACTATAAATCCTATTTTGGCTGCATGCCCGAGTCGAAAAGTACGTTAAGGAAACGATCGGTTTAGACGATCCCATGAAAGCAGTATGGGGGCTATATATTTTTCAAATTACTCAAATGGCCACCTCGCAACCTGTGTAATAATTGGTCTTATAATTTAGATTAATGTCTAGAGGATTTTGCAATTTTAATCAATTTCAACAGAGAAAACATTTTATTGGGTAGTATAAAAGTCTAATAAATCTCATATAATCAACGTTCAGTTTCATTCGACTTAAATTATTTATCGAGTGGTATCTTAAACTAACCATAAAATCAGGTCCATATTCTTCTGAAAATGAATAATACTTGACTCATATACCATATACTAGAGTTTAACAAAAAGCCAATCAGATACAGTCCTAAATTAAGACAAAAATTTCACCGATCAGTCTATGTCTTTTGTATAACAAATTTCTGAATCTGAACAATATAAGTTCTCGAAGTATCATATGACACAACTCTTCCTTTCTACTAACACCGAAATATTTCTAAAATATTCGTTTTTGTCTGTTAATGAATAAATATTTTTGACAACTCTCATAATCATAACACACAATAATTATACACAAAATAAGAAAAAAGACATCGTCTAATTAAAAGCTTTCGAATATGACTACCTACATATATTTTATTCCTGTGAAATAATTAATCAATTATATTCTATTCCTATAAGATAAATCATCAATTACTCACATTTATTTTTCCTATCTATAACAATTATAAGCAATTAGCGTTACATACATGAAAAAAAACAAATATTTATTATCACATCTGTTTAATTGCTTGCTTGTTATTTTTAATGAGATAAAGAAAACAATCACAAAATGAAATAGGACATTCTACGCATCAATAAATCGTATATATATATATATAAACATTAGGGCGTATTCTCTCTACATATTCGTTAAATTATTTGCTTTCATTTAAATTCAAAATTTGTATAATCGATTATTCTGCTTCGAATCTTATCGTGTTTGAATATTATTTCACGGTAATTACTTCTATAGTTTTTGTATTTAGTTTATACCATTCAAACGATATTCTTCGTATTGAGAATTGTTGCTCTCTTAAGAAGTACTATAATTATATATATAGTTATTGAGATTTTTCTAAATCATTCGATTTATTTAATGACAGTATCCATATATTTTAACTATACTAAAAACGAAGCAAGGTTTATAGATTTCCTACTTCATCATCAGCCTCTTCTATAAAGTCGTCGACAGAGCCTGTACAAGAAACTAAAAACATATCATATAGTTTCACAGCTGTGTCTTATACCGGGTCTGTTTTGATCGTAGGATATTTTACATCATTCTCAGCTAAACCAATGCTTCGTCTACTTGGATATTCAGTCGAAGTCTCTTCGCGGTGCGACTAAGTACCCAAATGAACTCCTGTCCCCGTTCAAGCTGATCTTCATTCTGATTACGTCTTCTGTCAGCTTTTCTATCCCTTACGACTGGATCCTCAACGAAACTTGTTCTCCGGTTCCATTTAGTATCAAGACCGATTATGTATTAACACAGATTCTGTACCCTTTGTGATTTCGTGGGTTGATTGTAGGTGAGTCCGTGGTTAGATGATGACAATAGGGAGAGACACACAGTGACACTCGTTAAATCTCTAAACTAATAATATACACTGATTGTATTTTAGAGGAATTTTTTGTTTTAAACAGATCGTTTTGCCATAACATAAGCTTTCCCATTATATGTTTAGAAATGGGTGTGGATGTCTATTATTCTTCTCATTCATTCCTCACACCCACACTCACACCTACACCCACACTCACACCTACACCCACACTCACACCTACACCCACACCTTATTGTACGTTCATTTTCGTTTAATGTTTATGTCTGACGAAGTATCTTATCAAGATACGAAACGTCACTAGTTTATCTTATTTTGTTAATATTTAATAAAAAGAAGAGAATCAATTATGTCAAAAAAAAATGTTATCGATTACAATGCATGTTTTATTAGTAATTTTGTTATGATGCATTCATGTCTTTGCCTAACATAATATTCTTTCACTACTTATGTGAATCATTGATAAAAGTAAATGAAAACAACTAATGAATTTTCTTTGACTTATGCGAAATATATATTTCAATTAAGTCATTATTTTTGTATTCTGTTTTTTGAATAAACATCGAAGAAAGCGACACATGTTGATTCCTCTTACAAATATGTTTATAGTTCAGAGTGGATGTGGGTGAGAATGAGCTGGGTGGGTGGAATACGATCGAAGTGAGTGAAATAGGGTGGGTGTGCGTGAAAATGAGCTGCGTGTGGGTTCGTGGAATAGGGTGAATGAGAGCGGGTGTGCATGAAAATGAGCTGGGTGGGTGGGATAGACTGGAGGTAGATGGAATCGGATGGGTGTGGGTAGAACAGGGTGGGTGGGTGAAAGTGAGCTGGTTGGGTGAAATTGTATGAGAGTTCGTGGAAAATTCTTCGTACATTGGCGCATGCAAGAAAAGACTTTTGTCTTCCACAGTCAAGGATTAAGTGAATCAAGACGACGAACGTTACTTTTTGCATTTTTTTTGTGAGTTTTTTCACTGATTATTTTTGTTGTTGTCGCTTTTGTTAGAGAAATTTCTTTCATCTTTCTTCATTCAACATTATGATTGCGACGCTCTTTTCGACGTTTTTTATGCATAGCAACATCATGATAGTTTATACATCTTGAAGAATTCCGTTAGATTAAAATATAAAAAAAAACATTTAATCTTCGTCTTAATCAATTTTCAATTCACACACTTAAAACTGATGCATAGTGTCAAATAAATACAATAAACACAGTTGCTTCTTTTTAAATTAATAAAATAATTAAGAGAACAATCTATATATATCTAGCATATTGCTTTTCGAGAGACTTATCACCATAAAAGAAACAAGCAGACTTTTGAGTCAATAATTTACAGAATCTACTGTCCGTTTCAAACAAAAAAGGCGGGTGGATATTTTTCGAATATTTTGTGATAGGAACAAGATAGAGAGCTGCGGTTCTCACCGTTAGAGAGAGCAGATGAAGATGCATCAAAACCTATGTGGAAAGACTTCTCTCACTACTTCCCAAGGACTGTTATAGGAAACTCTTTGACAAACAGTATGTCTCACATTAACACCACATTAGTTCGTTCATTTTCGGGAGTGTTCTAGAATCGCCAGATTAAGAACTACAAAACTGTATGAAGGTTTTACTCATGACTACTACTAATTCAATCGTTCACTGATAAAAAAAACACTTTGGTAACCCATTTTCCGTGCAAAAAATAGAAGTTTCTGTGATATTTTCATCAAAAATCGTATTTTTTCACGTGTGAAAAAAAGGTAGTTTTTTCAAAACATCTGACTAGTAGTCTTTGGAAAGCGGTTAGAGAAATCTTTCCATTTAGATTTTAATGCATCTTCATCTGCTCTCTCTAACAATGAAAACCGCAGCTCTCTATCTTGTTTCTATCACAAAATATTCGAAAAATATCCACCCGCCTCTTTTTTTGAAATGGGCAGTAGTTCCAAAAATTGGAGAAGATACCTCAGCTTCTGCCGAATCTTAGAAGTTTTTTTCTAAAACTTTCAAGGTGTTATAGTGAAATCGAAAAAATCTGAGTTTAACTTCTTTTTTTGTCTCTATTCCTCTGTTTGAAGGCTCAATAAAGTATTTTCTTTTGATATAATCTTGCAAATAGTTTATGTTTTGTACCTCTCTACATTGATATGGGTGTCAGAAAATTATATACAATTACAACCACACTATTCTGTCTCTTCACAACATCAGAACAATACAACAACAATAGATTTTTAAATTATTTTGTAAATTGTTTACCATTAAAATGTCACGTCTTTTTTCTCATTGTGGAAAGAGATTTTATAAAATAAACAAATGTATAATATTCTCTATTCTTTGATTTTTTTTGCATCAGTGTTAAGAAATAATGGATTAAACCTTCTTCTATGCACATACTACCGTCTGTATCTCCATAACATCAGAATAATACAACAACAATAGATTTTTAAATTATTTTGTAAATTATTTACCATTGAAATGTCACGTCTTTTTTCTCATTGTGGAAAGAGATTTTATAAAATAAACAAATGTATTATATTCTCTATTCTTTGATTTTTCTTGCATCAGTGTTAAGAAATAATGGATTAAATTTTCTTCTACGCACATACTGCCGTCTGTGTCTCCATAGCATCAAAACAATAGAAAAATAATAGATTCAAAATTATTGTGCACGTTGGTTACCATTAGAATGTCATGTCTCTTTATTAAGTGGAAAGCCAGATATTAGGAGTTGATGAAAGAAAGAATAATACAACATTCTCTATTGTTTAATCTTTTTCTCACTATTGTTGAGAAGTCATGACATCGCATTTTTTCTTTATTTTTTGTACCTCGAGCTTAAATATTTCATAATCCGGCATTGTAATACATTCTCGAAACTTCTCATAACAAATATACACATATAAAAGAAGAAAGAAAATTCATTCACTACTAATTTTATAAACACAAGCATTCAATTTCAGTTTGTTGTGCGATCGTATATTTCATTATATAAAGAAGAAACAACAGTCGAACAGTAACAAAATGGAGTGGGGTGTACGCCTTGCCTTAGTATTGTTGGCTTCATTGTGTATTTTACTCGATGGAAGCCATTTTCGTGGTGGTATTATTTCATGGTAAATATACTCAAATAATGCTTGTTTTTCTAATCAATCTTGCATATTTTACTTTTTACGCTCTTCTTTTTCTTAGGCGTCCGTTAAATAGTACAGTAACGGGTAATTTTACAACAATTCTATTACATCAAAGATATTTTTGGTATAGATTATGGGGCAGTTTTTCTGCACCTTACTGTAGGGAACTAGATGTCGCTAACGGAAAAAATATCACCGTACCAGGTGCTAATTTGATCTGTTTAGCAAATTGCGCAACTTCTCCTGGCTTTTCAGCAATTTCAGCCATTATGATCACTTCAGATTGTGATAATTCAACGATCATTCAATCATGGGGTGGTGAACTTTACACTCCTTTGACACTACCTTTGACAACAGACATTACAATTGGCTTTAACTCAAGTGCATGGTTGAATCAACTCTTTAAAGGTAATGGTAGTGGTTGGTCAATTGTCAATCGACTGAATCTAGCTGTGAGACCTGATGGTTATATCAATTCCAGTCCTGTTACAACTACATTACCATGTATACTTTACCAAAGAAATGTATCAATAACTCATGTTGTGCAAATGTCAGATAACGATTATGGTGATTATTTGCTATGCCGTTGGTCCAATTCGAATCAAACATATAATTACGACAAAGTTAATGAATGTGGAGGTGTCTGTAGTGCAATGCCCAATGGCACCAAACTCTTCGGATCCAATTGTACGTTGCAATTCATTCTACCAAGGGTTAATATCTATTATGCTGTTGCATTGCAAATCGAAGATTATTATACCAGTAGCTCTTTGGTGCCAATGAGTTCAGTTCCAATACAATTCTTATTCTATGCATACGATTCTCCTGCTAGTGCATGTGGAACTGCTCCTTCAATTATTGGTGTTCGTCCAAATAGAGGTATGAATGTATATTCTATTCTAAATTAAACTCAAACATTTAATAATGCTATATTTTGTCTATTTCATTCTCGTTAGCTTGCATTGGAGTTCCAGTTGGTAAGTGCTATTGATGCCTTTTCTTTTCTAATATCTAAAATCTATGTTTAAGGCGTTCAACTCAATGAAACTATAGAAGTACAAACATACTGTCCTGGCCAAACAATTGTTGATTTTGTCACTAGTTCACCTATTGGAATGACACATAGTACTATTAGCAATCCAAGTACTGGTAAGTAGTGAATAGTAGCTTGTTAGAATATGCAAACTTTTGAATTTCAAATATAAAATCATAGGTTTATGGATAATGACATTGACATGGACACCCATAGTAAATCAATTAGGTCCTCAAGGTTTTTGTGCTGGTGCAGTTGATAATAGTATTCTACAATCAACTCCATGGTGTATTACATATCTAGTTGGCTATGACTCACCGAATTTAATTCTTCCTGTATTGGTACAAGGATCAGCAAGTCCAATAGGTACTGTCTTTTCAAACCAGTCGTTGTTTTCCATACAAGGTACGCATTTTCTCGACATATAGTTTTCGTTTATTCTTAAATTAATCCGATATTCTCTATTTCCTATTTTAATTACACAGCAACAACTACAGTTGGTCGTCCTTCTCGTAATACAACAAATGTCTGTTTTCACTATGACTCTACAAATGCAACAGTTTTCTGTTATGATGCTGGATATTCTCCAAATGTTATTTATACTGGATATACTATTGTAATTGTTACAAATTATACATGGACACCTGGTCAATCCTATTATGTAACAATGGATAATGGATTTGCTAGTGGAAGTGTCTTTTGTCGTAAGTCTTTTTGTCTATTTTTTCCGTTAAAGTAAAAGATTAAATATTTTCTCGTAATCGTTGTAATTGTAAAGATGCTGAATCGTTAGCCATTACTGATAAAACATTTTGGCGATTCGATATCTGGAATCCAGCACATTCGAGTACAACCACAACAACTACTACTCCACCAACAACGCACACAGTTACAAGCCTAGGAACAACTACTACTTCAATCAATACTGCAGTAAGTTTATTTAAATTGTCATTTTTTATTCTCAATATTACACTTTTTCATAGTGTACAACAAGTGGAATAGTAGTAACTAGTACCAATGCTTCTACGACAACAACAACTGCCAGTACCACACCTCCAACTACAGCTGGTAAGAGATGGCATTTTCTATAAAACATTTCTTTTTGATAGAGTACTTTATAATTGATTAATTTGTATTCTAGGTCCAACAACAGCAGGCCCAACTACCACAGGTACAACAACTGAATCAACTATTCCTGTTTTCTATCCGGTGGATTTTGTAAGTTTCTACTGAAATATGATTGATATTTTTGACATACATACATATATGTATATATTAGGAAAATGCATGTAAACAACCAGTTGCAATTATGTCAGCTGTTATGATGGTTGCTTTTATGCCTATACAGGCTCTGGCAATGTATGCTGCTTTCACAAAATTCTCGAATATACACAAACCATCAAACATTGCTGCAAAAAAAAGACATCAACAACGAATGAGAAATATTCTTGGACCTAAAACCACATTTACACGTGTCTCCAATTTTTGACATTTTTCTGGACATTAATTTATTTTATTTCATAATCATGCTATTTATCAAGCAGTGAAACTAACGCTTTTGTTTGTCCCCAACTAACATTTTTCTCTATTTCCTTCCAAAAATAATGATTTTGAGTGTTTTTTATTTGAATACATAGATTATACTAACACGGGTGTCTAAATAAAATATATATGAATTAAAAGACAAAGATTTTTATTAATTGAATCGTAAGATCATATATAATAAGAGTAATACCTGTATTAGAATCGTTGATATCACTTGAGTGTCAAAAAAAGAAAATGTTTTTAAGCATCATCTGAATAGAGCATTGTTGCTGAAAATATTTATAAGATGTCGTCAATCAGATCTGACAACTTGTTACAAATTCCTTGGAACTCGGAATATATTTTGGGAGTATGTGTGAATTGATGAAACTATATAACTTATTTTCATTATACCCACACCCACTCTATTTAATTAAATATTTAAAATTTATGGTATTACATTCATTTGTATTCTTGTGTATTTAGCATGTCAAATAGTGAAAGATTCAAGTTGATTTTATAGTTCTTTTGTTTGTTTAATTTGTATGGAATAAAAAAACACTATACGACATTTTCTGTCCATGCGTCTTTCGTTTTATTGTGTGTAAGAGAATACAAAAATTGTCATGAAGACTAAAAGAATTTAAGTTGCATAACAAAGTAGAGAAAAAGAAAAGAGAATATATTATGTGATTCTGTTTCACAGTGCTTTATATGAGTGTGTCGCATATCAGTATGAAATTTAGTTGAGTTTGAAGCAGATCTTTTTTTTACTCTAAATTAGTATCACTATTAAGTTTTAATTTTATATACGATATTTTATGTTTTCAAGTCAATGTAAAGATTGGATAGGCATGAAGAATAGATTTACAAAGTATCATTGAAGTTATCATCCACAGTTCATGGTGTCGAATTTCTCTCATTAATAAAATGTATTTTTATACTACTGTCTATTATATCTTTATTTCAAGAATATGAAAAATAATCTTAAAATATAATTTAATGTTGAACTCAATAAAATCTATTTAGTAGAATTATTTAAATATTTGATGTATATTTTTCATTAATAAACGTTCCCACTAATTATTTAATGAAATCGATTATATACAATGAATTTTGTATGACACCTTCAATGTTACTTTCGCATACATACCTTTAATATATGTCCAACGACTAATTTAATTATAGAAATGCATTGATAAACTAAAAAGTTTAGTTACGATTAAATTAGTTGTTATATCAAATTTAAATAAAAATAATATAATTTAATTCTATACTTTCATCTTATTGTTGAATCTCAGGGAAAGAAAAAATAGAAAAAAATCTATCAAAATTTGAAGAAAGATAAATTTACAAAATGCGGATTTTTACGCGTTAATTTTTACTCTTTGTCTGATCAAGTAATTAGGCATAGCTAAACCATATATTAGTCAAATGCAACAATTTTTGATTATTGGGTCACATGACATAATCTAATTCTTCTCTAGAAGATAATAAATAGTACTGGATATTTGTGAACAAGTGTGATATAACAATAAATTTAGATTGATATCATCTCACTGGTGTGGATGTGAGTACCAGGATGATCGAGTTAGATGAAGAGAGTACTCCTATGAGCAATAATAAGATAGTTACCCACATCCACACTCATACCCTCAAGAAGAGTTTTATATTTTTTTGGCTTTGTATGAAAATATAAACGTAAAAATTGACAATGACGCAAACAAACTTCAATGTAGTTTTTATTATTGTTACTATCTTATTTTCGTCGTTATATATACAACCACGTGTCAGAATGAAGAAAGATTGTGTAAGTGTGTAAATAAAGGAAATTGAAAAGAAAAGCGAAGCTGCATATTTTCTTCTTCCTTTCTCACAACCTGCCATTATACTCTCATTGAATAAACGAGTTAAATATATGAAAAGCATATGATGAAGAATAATTGAATGATATACAAAGATTATATTGAAAACTATTGTTTTTGTTTTGAAAAAATATATATGACAGAAGCCTTTTTTTTTATTATTTCATATATTTAAAAAAAATGTTTTGTTTTGTTTGATCTGTTGTGCCACAATATTGAGAGAAAAAACATTACGATACATACTGTCAAAATGAACAATAAAAAAGGTCAAAACATTCATATAATATACAAAACTCGAACATATTAATACAAATATTTCAATATGTTATTCAGTGTATTACTCATTTTTTGTATATCTTCGTTGATTGATTAGCTGATTTAACAATTTCACTGTTCGGTGCATCATATGTGATACATGCGCTGCATATGATATTTGAAGCTAGAATTTGCTAAACGCAACTAGCTGACTGCATTTAGGCTATTGGAATATATCGGTATGATGCAAAGAAGTATTGTAGTTTTAGGTTGAATCACATACGATGCTCTAGATATAATAAAATCCTGAAAAACATAGTGCTTTGCTTATATTTGAGAAAAAAATGGATGCTCAATTTCAGTTGTTTTTATTACAAAAACGTGTTTCAAAATAGAACAAACTGTTGTTCTTTACCAACTTAAATAAAAATAAAAGAATAGGCACAGGTTCCAGTAATGATGTTTAGTGACACTCATTAAAGCAAGCTAGGCAGAATAGTTTCTTGCATTGTCTACATTTTGTTGAGACTTGTTTGCATTATTTTCTTGCATAAGAAGTACTATCTTTTTTTTCCTTTCACTCCTTTTCCACTTAGCCATTTTCCTTCTCTTTGTGTTGTTTAGGTATATTCTCCTCTTCGTCATATTTTATTTCTGGAATGTTTGGTACTTCCTAGCTCGTTTATGCATACAATCATCGCTTCTCCAACAAAGTTAGTTCAGTATTATTCTAAGAGAGACAATTGAAT